AAGACTGACCTTTCTATCTCTTACATCTAGAACTCTCTAATAGGCACCAATAAGACTCTTAGAGAGTTCCAGCTGTGAGATCTAGAAAGGCAGCCATCTTCAGTATTGCTGTTAGGATTGCGTGGAAGTCATCTAAGTCATCTCTTAGAATTATCACACAAAAGTGTTAATTACCATGGTGTGTTCCAGTGTTGACAATAAAATCTCAAGAGCTCTTGTCTTATACCCTTAGGTTAAGATCCCTTGGATGGGATTTAGGGGATGGTAAGGAGGGCTGTGGTTGTTTTCAGTATGTGAATGTTTTCCATGAAGGTGAAAAGTAAAAGTACCCCTCCCTCCACCAAAGAAGAAAAGGTAGGGAAATCATTAAAGGTACCATTTCAGCAAAGACGGTGAAAGTTCCTTCCGCAAAGCTGTTAAACTTCTTCTCCTCAGCACTTAAGCCTAGCCAGATGTTCACTCGCAACTCCACAGGTACCTTGAGCCCATTGTTTTTCTCCTGCGGATACTGTGAGATGAATAGCACGTGATGTTACATTTGGCACAGCATGGACTGTGACATGAAGTTAAAGCCAAAAGCAGAGCGAACATCTAATCATGGCTCTAACCAGTCTAATTTCATGTTTGCTTCCATTAAAACATTTCCAGATCACCCTACAGCAAAGATTAAAATCACAATTAAAGCAGCAGATGTCAGTGTGATCCACAGATTCCTGCCTGTCCCTGAGACCTTTCAGGAGGTCCATAAGGTCCAAACAATTTTTCTAAACACACTAACATAGTATTTATCTTCTTCACTGTATTGACACTTGCACTGGTAGTGCAAAAGCAATGGTGGAAAAACCTCCTGCACTGTTGCAGGAATCAAGGCAAGGATGCCAGACTGGACCTAGTGGTAACAGTAAAAGTAAGAGTAATAACAACTGCAATCTCAGTAAAGAAACAAAATGCCAGTTTCACTAAAGAATTATCTTTTCTGTCTTTTCCCATGTGCAAAATAAATAAATAAAAGGATCATGTTGATCAAGCAGTAAAAATTACTAATTTTTTTTTTTTTGAGACAGAGTGTCACTCTGTTGCTGGAGTGCAGTGACTTATTCTCGGCTCACTGCACCCTTGACCTCCCAGGCTCAGCGATCCTCCCACCCCAGCTGCCGGAGTAGCTGGGATTACAGATGTGTGCCCCCACACTGGCTAATTGTTGTAGGGACAGGGGTCTTGCCATGTTGCCCAGGTGGGTCTTAAACTCCTGAACTCAAACGATCCGCCCACCTCAGCCTCCCAAAGTGCTGGGATGACAGGCGTGTGCCGCTGTGCTCAGACAAGATTACTCATTTTATTAAACTCGACCCTTGAATACATGTTAATATTTTGTGTGATGAGACGGGAGGCACTCTGCTGCATATTGGCGGATGATGGTTGTCTCAAGAAAAAGCTCTTGTGCAGTTTTTGGAGTTGTAAGCTGAACTAGATTTTTGAAAAATGAAATATCACTTTTACTTAAAATTGCAATTGACAGATAAACATGGTTATTCCAATTTGACTATGGGGCAGGCATTTTTTTTTTTTAACATGAATAAAGCGAGCCTCTTACTCCAAGGAAAAGAATCCTCTATTTGTTGGTGATGACAAAATTCAAGCTTTCAAGTAAAAAAATAGAGTGTTGGAAAACTTGAACCTGTCACAGTAAGTCTGACAGCTTCCAACACATAAAGACTTTCTGATAAGTAACATTAACAAATGTGATTTAAAAGTGATTTTTTTCAATATTGTATGACAAAATGTGTCATAATAACTCGGTGATCTACATACCTCACTGAATTTTCCAAATGATTGTACATTATGTTACAAAATCACACATGAATAAAGGTCATTCAAAGTCCAAGAAAGACCAAGGATTTTAATGTAGCTGAGCATGAAAAATTCATTGATATGGTTTTAGATTTCACACTGCAATTAACCTTTTAAAAGCTACCACTTGAGGTTAGTGTTACATCAAAGATGAATATTCATAATTATCTGAAAAGATTATTACAATACTCCTCCCTTTTCCAACTACATATCTATGTGAGGCCAGATCTTCTTCATATACTTCAACCAAATAACTAATTCCAACAGCTTAAATACACAAGCAGATAAGAGAATCCAGCTATGTTTCTGTTCAGCAAGACATTAAACAAGTTTGCAAAAATGTAAAATAGTCTCATTCTGCTCTGAGTTTTTACATAAAATGTATTTTCTGTTAACAATTATGTTAATATTTTATATTAAATACGTAATTAAATACAAATATGTAATATATTTTATATTAAATATGTAATTTCTGTTAATAATTATGTTAACATTTTATATTAAATATGTAATTGATATAATTTATGTTAATAATGGGTTACTGTTATGGTTAAACCAATAAATATTTTAAAATTTATCAGTTCCAATTTCTATTACAGTAAATATTGATAGGTATAACCCACATAAATCTAAGCTCTCTGGTGTCTTTAATAATTTTTTTAAGGTATAAAGGTGTCTCAAGACCAAAAAATCTCACTGAGTTCAATGGCTCCCTAAACTGTGTAAGGAGTATTGACAAAATCAATAAATATATAAAACATTCTCTTAAAAGCATTTTGCTGTTTATCCACTAACTTCTAAAACCTAACCCAGAGAAGATGCCTTTGTCTCCTCTCCCACCCCCTGTGAAGTTTTATTTATTAATCAGTTTGCTTCCACCCACTGCTGAGGTCAATTATAATTGTGGTTCTATCTTAAGTAAAATTTATTCTACCAAGAGACACTTGAAAGAAGATAATCACTGATTCTATTTACACCCTCCTGATTAAAGAGCAATGAGTAAATTTATTAAAAGTTAGCAGATATCTCCTTGTTTGAAGAGAATACTCCGCGACTCTGCTTTTTCTCTTCTTAATTGCTATTTCTTTGCCCCAAATCCAAAGAACTCCAGTTGGGGTTGGCCAGAGAGATGTCAAAACATATAGATGGGAACTATTCTGATTTCTTTGTTTCTGGCCCCAGGCTCACCTTTGGTTTCCCATATGCACACACAGAGTTCTTAATTCGGGGTCCTGGAATGGGCTTATGGGTTGTATGAAGCTTCTAAATTCTATGCAAAATATTCGATGAACATGCAGTGTGCATTTCCCTGGAGAAGAGGGCCCATGGCTTTCGTCAGGCATTTAAGACAGTCTATGACTCTAAATATATTCAGAATCTCTTCCCTAAAGTTACGATTATCAAAATCTTCAATTTGATTGGTTCATCAAATTGAAATCGATTCAATCTATTGCTCATTTGGTTAGAGCAACAAATTCCATGGACCATCTCTACTGCTTTCTCTTTCTTTCCCCAACATTCACTAAAATGAAGGGAAGAAAGGCACTGCCTTGCATGAGACATCAGAAGTGAAAAATTCATGCCAGAAAGCAAAATATTCACAATGCCATGTTTATATTAATGTCACAAAGACATCTAAGGAAGTGTCCTTGATCAAAAGCCAGCCAACCTCAGATCTACTCTCTGAGAATTACCACCCCAGAGGGAGGGATCAGAATGTGTTGGAATTGATCCCAATTACCCTCACCATTCAACGATTAGCAAATAGTACAAAGCAGCCCCTTCTCAGGAATACGGCTTTTACATTTAGTGTGTTTCACATGACACGTGAAGACATGTACCTTGAGAAAGATGGTTTGGGTTTTTCCACAGTATTTTCCAGATGCATTCTCACCACTGGTGGAGTATAAGACCCGATGTGCGGGAATTCGTGCATAGGCCAGTCTCTTCTCTCCCCGGATCATCCAGATGATGATGTCAGGCATGCTGTTCTGTGGCTGGTCACCAGCATCAGACAGAAGAGGAAGCACAGCCATGGTTAGTCTAGATGGAGAGGGAGCCAGGCACAGTGGCTCACACTTGTATTCCTAGCACTTTGGGAGGCTGAGGCGGGTGGATCATGAGGTCAGGAGTTTCGAGACCAGCCTGACCAACATGGAGAAACCCCATTTTTACTAAAAATACAAAACTAGCCAGCTGTGGTGGCATGCACCTGTAGTCCCAGCCAGTCAGGAGGCTGAGGCAGAAGAATCGCTTGAACCTGGAAGGCAGAGGTTGCAGTAAGCTGAGATCATGCCATTGCACTCCAGCCTAGGTGACAGAGCGAGATTCCAACTCAAAAAAAAAAAAAAGGTGGGGAGAGAGGGACTGAAGACATTGCATACTGGACCCTCAGAGATCCATTTTGCAAAGAAATCCTTGGTTAGGGCCCTACCTCAAATTCCTGAGCTCCCATCTTCTAGAACCGTACTGTGAGTTTGCAGGGCCGGGAGGCAGGCTAAGGCCAGCCAAAGGGAAGGGTGAGAAGCAGAGGGGCAGCCTCGCCTGGAAAAGCCCCTCCTTCTCTGCTCTAGGAGGCATCCTAGGAAATATTCCATCTTATCTGAAGCATCATTTGAAGAAAGCCACCAGCAGCAGTCAAAGGGTTACAGATTGTATGTATTTTACAGGACATAGAGTCTCTGGCTCACCATCCAATATTTGCCAAATCTGAAATATTAATTTCATTTTCAAAAACCTTTTTTTTTTCTAATTATAAAGGAGATAATCCAGCTTTCAGGGCTGGATATTCAAATATCCCTATTGGCACACACTGGTATAAAAAGCTTCTTCTCCTAAGTCCACTATAGAACACTGTGAGAGTACCAAAGCATAGAAAGTAGAAGATTAAATTACCTATAATCCCGTGTTCTTTTTCAGGTGTATTTCTACCCACAAATATGTGACTACCTACCCAAACCTCTGATTTCTGAGAGACAGGAGGAGTCTCCTTACTTCCTCATTCTTCCAGTCCACCGAGGTTAGTGGTAGCCAGCATTTATCCAGCACTTACTGTATGCCCTCAACTGTGCTAAGCCCTTACACCCATCATCTTTAAATCTTCACACAACAAGGCTAAGTAGTACGCACTATGTTTACCTCAATTTTACAGATGGGGAAACTGAAGCTCAGAGAGGTTGAATAACCTGCCCAATGTTATACATGGTAGAACCAGGATTCAAATTCATGTCTTCCGAACCCCAGCCAAAGCTGACGTTTTAATCCTCTGTACTAAAAAGATCATTCAAAATATTCTCTGACAGTACCATGAAAATGATAACGATTTGTCCACTTTTGAAGACATTTCCAAGATCACCAACTCAAAATTTTTCCCCAGCCCTGATTTCAATAACATTCTTCCATTAGCATTCTCAGTCCAGTTACTCCTTGATTTTTATAATCTGTCAGATCTGCTCCATATCCCAGATAACGTAGTAGATTCTCCTTCTACCACCCTTATTCTTGGTGCCATTTTGCAGAGCCCTTCTTCCCTATCAGGTGATGGTTGCGTAGTTTAAAAGTCCTACCTCTTCGGTCAGCTGCATTAATTTATCAAGCCAGTCCTCAATTTCTGCCATTGTGGACTTCACATCTGTGGCTTCCGACCGCATCCTCACAGCTGCCTCATGTATTTGGGAGAGAGATCTGGACCGCAGCTTTCGGATCTGAGTATCGAGAACTGTGACGTTGGCTTTTCCTTCTGTGAGAGGCAATGAATATCTAGAAAAAGGAAGAAATAAAAAGAAACAGAGAATTTGAAGAATAACCTAATTTTAGGCTTCAGAACTGTCAAATACATTTATGTTTGATTTCCATCTTACAAACCTCTTAACTCAATCTACAAGCGTTGCCTGGTTGATGCTGGAGTTGAATGTATCTGGCATTGCCAGAGCAGACCTGCCAGTCTCTTAATTTTCACAAGGTATACAGGGAGATTAAAATTCCAAAGCTATTTTAGGCCTTATAGTTTAACAACAGACCAAGGAGTCACTGGAAAGAACATGGAAACAGTGGCCGCTGAGAGGAATTGGCTTTCCCATCTTTTGCTTCCTAAATCATTTTACAGACCCACAAAATGATGGAAGAGGAGGGAGGTTAGAGATCATTTAGCTGAAGCATTCTTAACTTAGGGAATCCTGGGCCTATAAGCAGTCTATGGGTGAGTCTTAGAAGGTCTGTGAAACTCTGGAACTTACAAAGAAAACTGTGTCTATCTGTGTCCATGTGTAGTGTGATGTAATGAAGAAGAAGATAGGCTTTGAAGCCAGCGACCTGGGTACTAACCGTGGCTCCATTCCTTACTAGTTCTATTGTCTTGACCAGCCACTTACTTTCTTGTCCTCCTATTTTCAAATGTGGGACATACGTCTTAGGGCCGTTGTGAGAAGGAAATGAGTTGATGTATGGAGAACATTTGGAATAGTTGCATTGCAAAGTCTATACAATGTTGCCATCCTCATCATCGTCTCCATCATCATCATCATCATCATCATCATCTCATCAGATTCTCAAAGAGGCCCATGAACTCCAGAAAGATTATGAACCACCTGTGTAGGCCGAATCCCCATTCGGTATGACAGCCTGGATGTGTTGCGATGAGACCCCCAAGGGTTACTGAGAACGGCTGAGCTAGGGCCAGAATTAGCCTTCTGCTGCCAGGCCTTCCCTCCCACCATGGCATCTGGTGGGACACCGGGTTAGGTTTCACCAATTTCAGGAAGCTCCATTCACAGTGTCCCTAGCTAGAATTTCCACTCACTTGAATTTCACCCAATTCTTCAATGAAGAAAATCCTAGCACGACTTCCCTTAAACACTGAATTTCCTGTTATATAAAGTTTAAAAAGATTCCAATTTGATTCCTCAAAACCAGCTCATATCAGAAGTATAAATAGATGACCATGACTTGCTCCGCAAATCTCTTTTTTTTTTTTTTTTTTTTTTTTGAGACGGTGTTTTGCTTTTGTTACACAGGAGGAACTACAATGGTGCAATCTTACCTCACTGCAACCTCTGCCTCCCGGGTTTAAGCGATTCTCCTTGCCTCAGCCTCCTGAGTAGCTAGGATTATAGGCTTGCGCCACCACGCCTGGTTAATTTTTGTATTTTTAGTAGAGACGGGGTTTCAACACGTTGGTCAGCTGGTCTTGAATGCCTGACCTCAGGTGATCCGCCTGCCTTGGCCTCCCAAAGTGCTGGGATTGCGGGCATGAACCCCCACACCCAGCCTGGTTTAGCAAATAACTATGGCATTGGATTTGAAGGGTTAAGTCCCCAGAGTGATTCTTTGAGGCAAAAAGCTAAATGGAAGTTGTTAGTTCAAAAGTCACACTTGGGGTCCTGGACAAACAGATGTTGACTGTGGAATAGGTGCAGGAAGACAGGCTGAGTTGGCAAACCCAGCTCTGGGCACCACATGTGTCATTTCACCTCTTTGGACCTGTTTTCTCATTTACAAGATAAGGAGACTGAAGGACATGATCCCTGAGGACCCAGCTCTAACATTTGGAATTTAAACAAACGCCTCAGCACTGCTTTGATTTTGGCTACGTTTCAGTTACCTGGCTACACCACTAGGAGGCACAAGAAGACAGGGCGACTTAGGGCGTTAGCCCAGCCTGAGAAATAAAGGCCTTTTTGCTTGTGGAAAGCATTCAATATGCTTTTCTTTCGGAACTTCCCTGTCCACTGCTTTATTAGCCAATATTTAAAATGAGTTTGGAATGAATCACTTTCCCCTTTAATTTGATCTGAGCTGTTTCTCCAAGTCACAGTTATGAAAGGTCCTCTGGTTCCAGTCAAATCTACTGGTTTCGCCTAACAGAGGCTGGGCCACAATATTCATTAGGCATTCAGTAAAAGAGCAAGGAAAAAGGCTGCTTCTAAAAATATGTTTATGAATTAGAGAGATTGTTCCGAATGGTGAAATCGATGCTCCACCCCCAGATCCCATTCTCCATGGGAGCCAGAGGTCACCCTTCTCCAGGGGAGGGGCCATCCATGGGTTGATGGGAAGCAGAGGCTCGGGCTTGCCTCTTCCACCCCTCCCCATCTCTTGCCTGAGGCTGCCTGGGATGTGCTTTCTGGAGTGGGGCCTCAGCCTCCCTAGGCCCCAAATCAGAAAGTGGAACTATTCCTGGTGGTGATTCAGGCACTCCTCCCAGTGAGGGCTTTTACGAAGCTTGAATAACTCAAAATCACTTTTTAGACAAACACTAGAAACAATTTTACAGGCTTTACAGTCAGAATTTCAGGGAGGAGAGCATGGATGAAAATTTTGAGATAAGGTCACTGTACCTCGTGTCTTCTATAACTTCATCTATCAGCTTCAACCACCATTCAGCCAACTGGTTTGCAGGAATTTTACTTTGTATCCCTGATTTTAGAGCCTCTATATTTGATTGCTGAAGAATTTGAAAAGAGAGAAAATAATTGATAATTGTTCATTATGCCATTATACGTTTTCATACAGTTTAACCTTTGAAGCCACGTAAATATTTTTTATATTTTCATAAAACAAACAAAATGAAACCAGCAAAGATAGGAGAGGGAACCCTAAAGTGGAATATAACCAGAAATAAAACAGACCCAATTATAATTCAGACGAATAACATAATTACACTAAACTAACCCAAGTAACTTTGGAACACAATATTTTGACCATATACTCTTTGTTAAAAGGCAAAAAACAAAAACAAAAAACAACAAACCCGTAAACATATTGAACTCTAATTAGTTGGCTTATTTTTCACAGTGGTTTATCTATAGATTTTAGGATCGAACAAAGGAGCAAATATATTGAGCATAACGAAGGCCATATTTCTCACTGTTGGAGAAGAAAGTTACAGATACAGAAACAGAACGACTAGAATAAACCTTGTAGTATTGGACTGGAATTGGAAGTATCTTTATGAAGTCATGGCTTTTAATATACTAATAGATATGGAAATAAATATACATATATGTGTGTGCGCAAATTCATTTGCCAAGAAGGCCTAGAAGCAGTGATATTTCAGTAGTCGTGAGCACTCTAGTACTCAGATCTTGTTTCTAAAATGCTATTCCCCACTAAAAGAAAACAGGGCTGCTTGAAGAAATGGCAATTTATGGGCTGGGGCAGAGAGAGAATGAGATAAGCCCAGAACATGTGGTTCTATCCCACTGAGCACCTGCCAACAGAGAAGTTGAGGGAGAGCCTATCATGAGTGTCAAAAATCCTAACCAGGGAAAGCCACCATCCTGTCCAGATTAGGCAGCTTAGTCAGTGGAAAGAGCTAATAAGAAGAACCAGGATGGGCCAGGCACGTTGGCTCATACCCATAATCCCAGCACTTTGGGAGGCTGAAATGGGCGGATTACCTGAGGTCAGGAGTTCAAAACCAGCCTGGCCAATGTGGTGAAACTCCATCTCTACTAAAAATACAAAAATTAGCCAGGTGTGGTGGTGGGCACCTGTAATCCCAGCTACTTGGGAGCTGAAGCAGGACAATCACTTGAACCTGGGAGGCGGAGGTTGCAGTGAGCCAAGATTATACCATTGCACTCCAGCCTGGGGGACAGAGCAAGACTCCATCTCATTAAGATGGAAAAAAAGAAGAACCAGGATGAAAATGGTTGAAGAACATCTCAAACATAATTATAATACAGGTGCAATTAATTCTCCACCAATGCCATTGAGATGTACATTGCATATCAATTGCAACTTTATTTTAGGGACAGTTATGATTAAGTCAATTTAAACCTATAATTATCCTCCCAGATTGCCTTTATAACATAAAAGAATATTTCAGATTTTGCCATAGAGTTTTAGATCAAGTATACTCCTGAAACCCCGTATATTTTGGTCTAGCCCTGGTAGAGATTAGATCTTTAAAATATTAATATAATTTGGAAATCAAAACATCAATGCCAGATGGATTTTACCACTATCTGACAGGAGTAACTTACTATTTTTTTTTTTTTTTTAGATGGAGACTCACTCTGCTGAGACTGGAGTGCAATGGCGCCATCTTGACTCACTGCAACCTCTGTCCCTTGGGTTTAAGTGATTCTCCTGCCTCAGCCTCCTAGTTGCTGGGATGACAGGCTCATACCACTATGCCCAGCTAATTTCTTTTGTGTTTTTAGTAGAGACAGCGTTTCACCATGCTGTGCCAGGCTGGTCTCTTAACTCCTGACCTCAAATGATCTGTCCACCTTGGCCTCCCAAAATGCTGGATTACAGGCCTGAGCCACTGTACCTGGCCCAAGCAACTTAGTATTTTTCACTTAATTAGAAATATCCCAAATATGTCCCCCTTCTCCTCACCAATCTAGCTAACCAGTGTCAGCTAGACAGCTAATCACAGATACCACGTATATGCAGTTTTCACCAAAGGAAACCCCCAGTCTCCAAACAGAAGAAGTTCCTCTAGTCCGCAGCAAGAGCGGAAAGTGTCAGACACTGGCTCCTCTAAGCTACCTCTTCCTGCAGTGGAGATTTCCAATGCAAAGTTCTAAGAGTTTCCTATTGCTGTTGGAATGAACCATTGTCCACACAAAAATTATGGCAGAAACTATGAGTTCCTGCTCTACCCCACTCCTGCTTTCTCATCCTCCCCTCTTCCACAGTAAGAAAGCTTTTATCTGGGCATATGCCTGCCCAGGCATAAGACTATACATTTTTTCAACTTCCCTGGAGTCACATGTGGCTGTATGACTGGATTCTGGCCAGTGGAAAGTGGGTAGAAATTAAGAATATTACTTCCGGATCTTTCCTTTCAAGTGAAAGGGCTGTGTCACCTTCTTCCCACTGTTTACTCCTCCCCTCAGGCTGGAGGGCAGATGCAGTAGTGAGCTGCCTCTACCATGCAGACATTGATAACTCCTCAGTGATGGCAGAGCAAATAGTGGGAAAGAGCCTGGTTCCCCAATACCACTGAACCTCCATACTAACTTTGGACCATCTACCACCACTGTTCCTAGAGACATTGCTCTTACGTTATTGAGCACTGTATTGAGCTCTGTCTTATGTTACAGTGGCCTGGCCTGCATCCTAACTAATACCTAACTCACCCTGCTTGGAGAAAAGGAAATGCAGAAAAAGAGGAACTTACCAGCCGTTCTGCCATAACTAGGAGAGTGTTCACCGCATCCAGGCGATGACTAATATCCTCCCAGTATGAAGTCAGGGTGACAACTGGCTTGGTGTGGGCCCAAGGCAAGTAGTAATAGAAGTTCCCTGGTATAAAACATTGGGGGTCAGTGAACACTGAACACTTAAAATAGCATGTTTATTAAAGAGATGTGCAGACTCAGCTGCTGATTAATCCACAGGCTTAGGGAGTAGCTTGAGGAGGTCTGGTTCTTTAGTTTGACTCAATTAAGCAACTGAAGATTAGGAAGCTCTTTTTCATTCAGTCTGTTCTGAAATTTTCTCTGAGATACCCTAGTAAATGGAGCACAGCAATCTCAGGATCTTTTAGTGATTTAGGGCCATGCATTTGAACATCAAAGATGGTTTCCTAACATGATAGCAGAAAATACAGATGGCATAGGAAGCTAAACTGAACATGTTCGTCCCTAAAAACTGTTATTCTAAATAAATGTTTTTGTTGGAAGTGGGGCAAAAGAAAATAATTTTCTGTTCTTTGAAGGCTTTACTGTGGTTAAGAATTGTTAGCTGATGTTTTCTAGGATGTCTTAGATTTTAAAACTGCTTTAAAAATGAAGTTAGAACTCCGGCAATACTGTTGGGAAATTTGATCAGTATCCCTCTCTCCTTTCTCTGTAAGTCTCAAACCATTTGCTGACAGTTTCATTGGAAGTTCTCATACTTTGCTATCTATTATGATTTATTTTATATACTAGAATGTAAGCTCCTTAAAAGCAGGGACCATTTCTCACCCATCTTTGTTCAAATATAGCTATTTAATCCTCACATCAACTCCAGAGAAGATGAAGAAACTGAGGGTTAGAATTAAGTGATGTGGTTAAGGTCACAGGCTGGTGAGTAACACAGTAAATCAGAAGCATGATTTTCCAGTACCTGAGCCACATCCCATTCACTTCAACTACTCAATCTAAGAAGGATTTGGGGCTTGGTAGGGTTACGAGCTGCTTTGCAGAGCTCAGTACTTAGCACAGTGGCCCTCTTGGAGTTTTACATGGCAAAACCAGCGTTAAAGCAGAGCGGAGCAAGGGTGGCATTCGGGCTCAGCCTCTGGCAATGGGACCTGCAGCTTCTTGGGTTTGACCAGCCTTGAAGGTGCCTGAACCCCAAATATACTCTCTTCGTCATTAAACCTTTTCCTTTCCTCTAACCATAGGCTGGGGAGATTGGTGCCAGAGGGAGGAAACAGCGCGTGCTTCCGGTCCCGTTGTGCACCCACTGTAAACGTGCAGAGAATGGTTAGTGCCAATCTTACCATCAAATACAGCACGGCTGTACTGAGTTGTGGATGCCAAAGGCTTACAGGTGGTGTCAAACTTGTTGCCATAGTTCCCAATGCTGACTTCAAACTGAATGGCCTCACCCACATCTTGCAACATGGTGGCTGAATGAAACACAGCAGACAGGCTGTACTTCCGCCGTCGCTGGTATTTCTATAAAGCATGAGCAGACATAAGGTTCAGTGAAAGATCTTTTGTCCTTATTTACATGTGGATTTCTAGCAGAGGCAATTCTAAACCTAATAATTAGTGCTGAATTAAATGGCAGGGGAGAATGTTCTTGGACCCAGCAGTTCCTCTTGTACTCATACAAGTGAGCAAAGATAGAAGCACTAGGATGTTCCTTGCTGCATTAATTAAAATGAAAGAGAGATACAATACATGTCTTTCAGCAGGCCACTTGTTAAACAAATTATGTTACGTCCATAAAATCGAATGAAAGTTCATAAAAAGACTTAAATAGATCCATATGTGCAACCATGAAAAAAAGAGTATATTTCGGGGCTGAGCGCAGTGGCTCACGCCTGTAATCCCAGCACTTTGGGGGGGCAGAGGTGGAGGGATCATTTGAGGTCAAGAGTTCAAGACTACCTGGCCAACATGGTGAAACCCAGTCTCTACTAAAAATACAAAAATTATCTGGGCACGGTGGCGTGCACCTGTAGTGCACCTCCAGCCGCTCCGGAGGCTAAGGCACAAGAGTCACTTGAACCCAGAAAGCAGAGGTTGCAGTGAGCCAAGATCGTGTCACTGCACTCCAGCCTGGTGACAGTGCGAGACTCCTGTCTCAAAAAATAAAAAGTATATTTGAATTTAATCTGTTAAATAGATATTTTAATATTGTCATATTCATGAAAAAGGTTTGGAGGAATATAACTCATTGTTAACAGTAGTTATGTTGCAGAAGGTTGAAAGATTATGGCAAACTTTACTTTCTAACTTATACATTTTTAACTATTTTGAATGAAGTATTAAATTTCCCTTTTTTTTTTTTTTTTTTGAGACAGAGTCTTGTGCTGTCGCCTAGTCTGGAGTGCAATGGCATGATCATGGCTCACCGCAGCTTCAACCTCTTGGGCTCAAGTGATCCCCTAGCCTCAGCCTCCCGAGTAGCTGTGACTACAGGTGTGTGCCACCATACCCAGCTAAAGTATTAATTTTCTAATCGGAAATAACAATAAAGATTTTAATGTCAGATATAAATAAAAATAAGTGAAATTAGGTAAATTTATTCTAAATAAAAATGGAAATAAAACCTTCCTTTCCTTCTTCTTTTCTTTTGAAATTACTGGTTTACCGAAAGAGTTGAAGACAGGGCCAACAGTAACCACACTGACAACCTGTCAGCCTAGCAGAAACGACCATGAGCCCTTCCGGCCTTCCTTCACAGGCACAGAAAATCTTGAATCCATATCCTGCCCCATAGCCTTGCTCAGCTGGCATATCTCCTTCATTATGAGTCACATCCCTACAGATCTTCAGGCACTTTGCCTTCTTTTGTCAAAGAACTATGCAATGGTTTAGGGTGCTGTATTTCATTATGTCCTATGCATTCTGCCATGCAGTACTCTCCACATCCTGTGTCTCTTCTAGAACCCTGTTGGTACCCAGTCTCTGCTTTCAATTCTTTTAGGTCTCTACCCAGAAGTGGAATTTTAAATTGTTTTTTTTGTTTTGAGATGGAGTCACGCTCTGTCACCCAGGCTGGAGTGTAGTGGCACACACGATCTCGGCTCACTGCCACCTCCACCTCCAGGGTTCAAGAGATTCTCCTGCCTCAGCCTCCCCAGTACCTAGGATCACACGCATGAGCTAGCATGCTCGGCTCATTTTTGTGTTTTTAGTAGACATGGAGTTTCATGTGTTGGCCAGGCTTGTCTCTAACTCCTGACCTCAAGTGATCCATGGGACTCGGCCTTCCAAAGTGCTGGGATTACAGGCATGAGCCACTGTGCCCGGCTGGAATTTTTAAATTTTTGAGAACTGTTTTAAGAACTTCTGACAGTGACTGAAGCTCGTGGTCTTGAACTCCTGGACATCCTTCTGTCACAGAGTCCCCATTTTGGTTAAGGGAATTTTTGACATGGTATAATAGAACCTTCCAACAGGGTTTTGTCAAATCCCCTCTAGGCCTCAATCTTTCTAAAAATTCTTTCTAAAACATTGGTTTGCAACCTGAGCTGCACATTGAACTACCTGAGGAAGCTTCTACCTGGGCATTGTGAATCTAAAAGCCTCCCCCGCTGAGTCCACTGTCACCTTGGTAGAGGGGGATTAGGGGTGGATGCTACTTGCCAAGAGCTCTGCTTAACTACCCACAACTAAGCCCCCTGGACTACCCATGATGTGGAAATTCTGAGTTTGAGTTTGAATTGTGTCAAAATGTAAAAAGCAGAAAGTTATTTGGATTAGTCAGAACTATATACAGTACAACTTCTTCTTTGTAAACCACCTAGGATGAGAGGAGAAAAGGGAAGGAGCTAAAAATAGGAAACATTTGTGGTCTGCGTCAGGGCCCAGGAGAAAATGACCAGTGTATAAGCCAGAGGCATCTGTCAAGCCAGGGGCTGCACAGGATGGAGAAGGTTCATGGGGAGGCTCGGAGGTGGGGTGGAAACTACAGGATGATGCTTTGGCTGGGCTGGCTCACCCTGCAGGCCTCCACATAGCCAGGATTCCATTAGAACTCCCTGGGTGCTCTCATGCAGGGCTTGCAAAATGACCACAGAATCCCTGAAAGGACCCTTGCCCTGGAAAGTCTGAGCCCTAAAAGCAATAGTTTGGGCTTCTGGTCATCAGCACATTTCCCAGGAGAGAGGGGACACAATGTGAGCAAGCCGCGGAAGATAGAGCAGCTCCCTGGATCACTGCGCAAGCTCAGACTCCAGGAGAAGCTCCCTACCATCTGCTCACCTGCCCCAGAGCCAGGCCACCCTGGATTCAGGCAGCTGAGAATTCTGCTGCTCCCACAGACCTTTCCCACTTCCTCTCTGCCCTCAGGGAACAGAGAGGTAGAGAGAGGAAGGAACAATAAACACCAGAGAAGTGCAGAGCCTGGGATAAGACTGCCTATGACATGAGAAAATTAAAGCACATAAATTGTAGTCTACCGGACTCAGGTGGGGGTAGGGCCTTGGGGCTCTCTTTCTGATCATCAGAGACTAGCACACCCTGTAGATGAGGTGGTATAAGGTAGAGCTTCAGCAGTCGATGTGGAAAAGGAGGTGATTTCTGTCAAGTAAGATACCGATAAGGGCTAAGAGTTTTTGAAAGTGGCTGTGGGCTGGGCGCGGTGGCTCACGCCTGTCATCCCAACACTTTGGGAGGCCAAGGTGGGTGGATCATGAAGTCAGGAGACTGAGATCATCCTGGCCAACATGGTGAAACCCCATCTCTACTGAAAATACAAAAATTAGCTGGACATGGTAGCGTGTGCCTGTAATCCCAGCTACTCAGGAGGCTGAGGCAGGAGAATTGTTTGAACCAGGGTGTCAGAGGTTGCAGTGAGTCGAGATCGCACCACTGCACTTCAGCCCGGTGACAGAGCGAGACCTCATCTCAAAAAAAAAGAAAGACAAAGAAAGTGGCTGTGGACACACAAGGCATGGGACATTAAAGGTCAGTGACAAGGAGATCAGGTACCAATGAAGACTGCCCAGCATGCCACCTTCAGTGTGTTTACTAAAGGAAACTGACACCTGATGGAGCAGGTGGAAGAACCTGAAGGGGCTATTTCTAGCAGTATTTTTGAGCCCTTAATGCGGACCAGACCAATGGGAGATGTAAAGGAGATTGTAGTTGAGTAGGAAAGAGAATGCAAGTGCATTCAATGCTCCTGAAATACATTCGGTCACATCTAAGGAGACTGGGGAAAGGGGAGCAGAGAGAAAGTGGTCCAAGAACAGACTCCTGATCCTGGAGACAAAAAACAGTCCTTGAGCGGCAGGCAGAGGTTCAAGAAGCCAGCAGGTATTAGAATAACACTAGGTTGGCAACACTTGATCTTCTTGTATCTGCCTGATTCCTACTGGGAAAGTGGCCAGGCTGAACCTGCTGCACCCCCCCTGCACTGGGGCCTCTCTTCACTAGGTCTTGATAGGTCAGCTCTGCTTTAGAAAGATGGGAAGCACTTGGCTCTTTGGCAATCAAGTTGCGCGTTTGTTGCAGCCTCTTCAGCTCTACCAAAAAGTTTTGTTAGCTGCACACAACCCAGAACAGAGGACCTCTGCAAGACAGACAAGGGTCATGATCATGTTGTAGGTTGACTGCATTCATTAAGTCCTTCTGGCAGGTGCACAGATCTGCTCACTTCACTCTCTCTTGGGGCTTCTGGTTGCTTGGAGTATGGCTACATTTTCAGAATCCCCATTCCTCTCCTATTCTATAATTCTGCAAGGTTTTTAAAATTTTGGCATCTTTTCACTTTTGATTTTATTTATTTTATTTATTTATTTATTGAGATGGAGTCTTGCTCTGTTGCCCAGGCTGGAGTGCAATGATACGATCTCAGCTCACTGCAACCTCCGCCTCCCAGGTTCAAGCAATTCTCCTGCCTCAGCCTCCCGAGCAGCTGGGATTACAGGCACCCACCACCATGCCCTGTTATTTTTTGTATTTTTTAGAAGACTTGGGGTTTCAGCATGTTGGTCAGATTCCTGACCTCAGGTGATCTAACCACCTCAGTCTTCCAAAGTTCTGGGATTACAGGCATGAGCCACCATACCCAGCCCCACTTTTGATTTTATTAAATTTATTTAATAGAAAAGATGAGCTATTTTGCTCTCTGTGTTTAATTATTTAGAGCAAAGAAAATGAATTCTGTTTTGTTTACCAGTCAATAGAAAGATGTTTTTATTCTGTTGACATATACTGTGGGCAATATATATTGTTTACTCTTTTTATTTTTTTGCTTTTAGACTAAATTAATGAAATAAGCTTCTTTGCGTATGTGTGTTTAACTATTTGCAGTGAAGAAAACTAATTTTGTTTTGCAATCGAGTTAATAGTGTTTTTTTTTAAGTATTTTGTTGGGCCTCTTTCTCCTTCTCCCCAACTATGGTTGTTTAAAAAAAGAGAAGCAGCATGGACTTAAATTACATTCTGGTGACGGAACAAAATAAAGAGGAACCATAATGGTTGAATGTCCATGGTGGTGTTTCTGCCTAACCCTGAATTCAAGCCAACATTTCAAGAGCCAACTCCAATCTGTAACTACTCAAGTCAAAAACCACCGTGTGTCTCTGCAGAAGCCTCCAAGTGGTTTCTGGCTATTCTCTTGCATGATCCTGGCTGTAAATAACATGCAAACTACCCCTTTTCACACTCTTCCTCCCCCTTTTTTCCTTTTCTTAACTTGTCCTCATGATCTACTGCAATTCCTAGATTACAGAGTGGATAATATTGTGGAATAGATAGAAAAATGATGACCAGGAACTTCTTGATTTTTGGTTCTGTGTCTCTCTAGTAAAAAAAGCAAAACAAATGATCATCTTTGCTGTAATAATTTGTGGGGGAGAACTATTTCTTTTCCACGTGTGAAGTGACATGGATACCCCGTGGCTTGCTGCTATGGTGATGCTAGGTTCCTTCCTGAGGCTGTAGGGTAGAGAGAGGGAAGTCTCAGAGAGAGGGGAGGAGACTTTCAAAGAAGGAGACAGGAATGAAATCAGTGGGGCTCAAGCATTGGACCACGGATGTTCCAAACACGTGAAGCCTGAGGATTCCAGAATGAACAGCTTTGGATGCCAACCTCCTGATATAGCTGTTGTCTGGGGGTCAATGAGCAAGGCCACATTGCTCTGGGAAAGAAGGGAGAGTTTCTGTTAAAGGGCGTGGCTAGTCTCCCCAGCGATCATCCTGCAAAGTGGGCAGATGTAATGGGCAGACATCAGACGACTGGAGGGAGAAGGCCCTGGCTCGCTGGAGAACTCATGCAGCTGGGCCTGGACTCAGATGAAGATGTGTTCTGGGCACCGCGGGAGCGTGGGCAGAGCATGGACAACCCAGCCTGCCACAAGGAGTCAGGCTGGGGGTAGACAGGAAGGCTGACTCTCAGGGACCCAGAACACCAGTCTGACCCCTGAGCTCTGAGAATTGCTACATTTCACAACCACTCTGTAACCCATTTTACTGTATTTTCCTATTCTTATCCCAAAAACAGAAAGTGAAGGCTTTTTAAAAGTTGCTGTTTGGTTTCTGCGGTAGAGTGGGGAAAGCAGGGCGGGGGCCTGTCTTGTGTCCTTAGAACAGAGGGCAGCAGCAGCGCGGGGCAGCTGGGACCCTGGAGGTGATTTGCAACCCATTCTGGAGGGCATCAGTGAGCTGGCTGCGCTGGCAAACAATTCAGGTTTGTGGAACACATGGGCATCGACCTGGGCTTCTCAGAAATGGTAGGGGAAGTCAACCGGGAAGATTTCCTGTCTTCAAGGAGGAAGCGGGGTTCACAGCCATTGCAATGTGGGCCCTCAGCACACCTGCCCTCCCGAGCTGGGAAGCCTATTCAAATGGAAATGAGTAGTGGTGGCACCTATAGCTCTTGGTGCCACCAAGAAGTGGCTGTTATGGCCACCTCCCCATGACCCCCAACACCAGTTAGCGAACAGCTCATTCAGTTTTCGGGTACAGTGCTCTTGCCAGTTTTCAGTAGGGTATTAACATCTCAAGGGCTGAAGCAATCCTTATAGGGCTGTTGTAGAAACATCCAGATGAGGGCGTTCGTCGTGAGCTGGGTTGCCCTCCTACTCCCTCAGCTGCCCCTTCAGTCCCTGGAGGTCTCCTTTTCTACACCATGCATTATTCACACTCTAACATTTACCTCAACAACCAGCAGGTCATCACATGAAATGGGTTCAATCTTTCTATCTGGTGGTGTCTTCTCAAGAAAAGTGGTTAATTCAACCAAGATCCTGCCTCTGTAGGCAACTCCTTCCCCCTGAAAGGCAATAACCCAGGATTATTCCTCCAGGAAGCAACAACAAAAGGCATTCTGTGTCTCTAGTTGGGCTAATACAACACAAAAAGTTTCTCCTTCCCATGGCCCTAACTTTCAAAATCAATCTGTCGGCCACTCTCCCAGCTGGATTCAGGTCTCTGGTGTTGGAAAGAAGAGCCATTGGCTTTAGGACAGATCTCAGAGAGTACCTTGGGATGCCAGGGCTGAAAAAGACCTTAGCTATGACCAAGGTCAGAGGCCTTCACACCATGCTCGAGCTCCAGAAGGAGTGTGCAGAGGCTGGGAGGTGGGGATGGATGAGGCTCGAAGTCTCCCTCACCATATTTCAGCGGGGAAGCTCTGCGTTTATCTGTGTTAACCCTGCTGCTCCTCTTCTCAGAATAGGGAGGCAGCCATGTTGGCAACCAGGGCAAGTCTCAGAATAGCCATGAAGTAAAGGAGGAAGATGTTCTGGGTACAGCTGAGCATGCAGATGAAGAGTGGATACTCCTCCCACCATACCCAGCAATGCTGGCAATAGAACCTTCTGGGGAGGAAGGGAGGGCCCCCACCTCCACAGCCAGTCTTTCACCTTTCCCCTCTCAGGGCTTTTTCTCTCTAGCTTGGTTCCTTTCTTGAGCCTTGGGAGATACCTAAAAGACATTTGGCTTCTGTTGTGGTAAAAAGAACACTTCCCATCTCTGGGTTTGCATGTCTTCATCTATGAAATGAAAGTATTGATCAGATCAAGGTAGCAAGGGGTTTCAGGGGCATGTCACTGCCTAGTGCTGGGTAAATTCCTAAAATATGATGTTGAGAAGAATTCCAAGGCAGCCCAGGGGCTTATTAAGAAAGAGAGCCAGCATTGATTATTGATGTCTACCAGAAGCATAGAAGTTGGGGGAAATGGCCATTGGCCATCCCCCAGTGAGTTGATCTCCACAATCTCTTCCTGTGTTTGCATTCTAAGTCTTAGGGTATAGATAGAGTATGTCCTAAATCTTAGGATAGAGTATGAAACTTCTATCCTGCAATACTTGATCAGACATTATAAGAAGAAATAATCACATTAACCAACACTCATTAATAACAACCTTAATGGAGAAACCAACCTTTCCAGTATTCAGCTCATCATAGGGGTCTGGGAATCCTGTGTACTCTCTGGGGCTTCCATAAAGATTCAGATAACAAGGTCCAAATGTTGGAACAAAGCCTACCTCTGTTTCTCCTGTGTTTACTGAGAGAGAAAGAGACATCATCATTAGATGTTAGGCTTTTAACATTCAATCTATTGAAATAAATATTAGTTATTAGTTATTAGTAAGACTATTTTCCTCCATTTTGTGAGTTAGTGGTATTAATGCGAGTTGTAAACACCATGAGGCTTGCCACATTTCTCTTTTCTTATTGCTAAATAGTAAATAAAAACATTTGGGGGTAGTGCAGATAAACTTATTTTTATAAAAAGATAATGTTATTTAAATAAAAGAGCAATTAGATTTTGAAGTTAACCTTCACAGTTTTTCCAAGTTTATAGTGGGCATTGTATTAAACACGCCATTGCCAATTGGGGTAAAAGATTATATTGTTTTGGGAAGTCACTTAAATGACATATTATATGCACTTTATTTATTCCTCTAAAGTGTCATTTAATCTTCAAGTCGCTTAATCTAACTCTGGCTGATGCTATTAAAAGTACAAGATAGATATTTTAAATTTTTACGTGTAATAATGAACTGCCTGCCTGTGGTTGTGAGACCTTGTGATATTCTAAGTGACATGAAGAATCCCATTCATTACTTCCTATCTCTGGTGGTCATTTGATATGCTCCTTATTTCTGTTACCTGGTCTTAGCAAGACAATTCCTCAATAAAGGGCACTGGGGGCAATGTAATTAAATAGCTGAAAATGGGGAAACGGTGAGTGAGGGTGGGGAAATATAAGAGCTGCCTTCAGTAGTCTCAATGGCCCCATATGGGATGCTCTTGTCTCCAAAAGCAGAGTGAGGACCACTGCTATGAGCTACAAGATCAGCTTTGGTTCACTCGGTATAAGGCAGAGCTTTCTGTGAATTAGAAATGACGAACAATGTAAGAATGGATGTTAAAGCGATGGCACCGTAGTCATGTCACATTATGGATGGGCAAGCCAAAGCCCACAGAAGGGAAGTGACTTGTCAAAAGTCCCACAGGTTGGCATATTTAGCCCCAGATCTTCAGTTTCAAAGCTCAGACAAGGACACCCTCCACTACCCCCATCTGTTCCTTTGGTGTAACCCCACCTCTCCTCCACCTGGTTCTCAGAGTGACTGTGTTGTCTGTCATGTGTATTTGCTTTTTGTTAAAGATCCCCAGGGATTAAAACACAAATTGTCAGTAATGATCCACTGAGCATCAGCTTAATGCCAGGGGCTGAATTATTTCTGTCCAACAAATCTCTTTTCTGGTGTGTTAGCCTTTTGTCTTGTTTTGGATTAACAGAAGGAACTTTCCTTCTATGTGCTCACACCTAAATATAGGCTCCTGGGAAAACCCATTCTCTAGGCCAGGCGAGGTGGCTCATGCCTGTAATCCCAGCACTTTGGGAGGCCAAGGCAGGTGGATCACCTGAGGTTCAGGAGTTTGAGACTAGCCTGGCCAACATGCCAAAACCCCCTCTACTAAAAATACAAAAAAAAATAGCCAGGCATGGGCAGGCGCCTGTAATTCCAGCTGCTAGGGAGGCTGAGGCAGGAGAATCACTGGAACCCAGGAGGCAGAGGATGCAATGAGCCAAGATCATGCCATTGCACTCCAGCCCAGGTGATAAGAGAGAAACTCCATCTCCAAAAAAAAAAAGAAAAAGAAAACCCATTCCCTCATAAGCTGTCTCTTCTTGCCTCCAAAGTTTCCTAATCCGTTTAATGCACAGCGGTCACATCAAACTTCCTTTGCTAAAAAGCCTTCACAAAATAAAACAAAAATCCTTCAGCCTGGCCATCAAGGATTTCCTCTGATCTAGCTACAACCTACTTTCCAACGATGTTTTCCATGCCTTTTACCTTTTGGAATCCCCCTTTGGGTTTTGGGGATAAAATATACAGTAATTACAAATAACTACTGTATTCAGTTTCTATAACCCTACATAGCTGCACATCTCTGTGACTAGAGTATCACTTTTCAGGGGGTGTGGTAGGATTTCAGTATGTTTTATTTTGATTTCCTACTGCTGGTTCTATCATGTGACACTACTACATGCATATTCATTGATTGGTTAAACAAATGAATAAAGGAATAAAGTGCTTGTGCATCTGCCAAGTTCACTGCAAATCTAAGGACTACTTAATATTCATATAAATCTGATTATAACAAAATAGATTTTTTTCCTTTTTTTTTTTTTTTTTTGAGACAGTGTCTCACTCTGTTCCCGAGGCTGGAGTGCAATGGCACCATCTCGAGTGACTGCAACCTCTGCTTCTTGGGTTCAAATGATTCTCCTACCTCAGCCTCCTGAGTAGTTGGGACTACAGGAGTGCACCACCACGGCCAGCTAAGTTTTGTATTTTTTAGTAGAAATGGGGTTTCACCATATTGGACAGGCTGGTCTCAAACTCCTGACCTCGTGATCCACCTGCCTTGGTCTCCCAAAGTGCTAGGATTACAAGTGTGAACCACTGTACCCAGTCTCTTTTTCCTTTTTTGAGACGGAATCTTGCCTTGTTGCCCAGGCTGGAGTGTAGTGGCACCATCTCGACTCACTGCAACCTCCACCTCCCAGGTTCAAGCGATTCTCCTGCCTCAGCCTCCCAAGTAGCTGGGACTACAGGCACATGCCCCAGGCCCAGCTAATTTTTTGTCTTTTTAGTAGAGATAGGGTTTCACCAATTAGCTAGGATGATCTTGTTCTCCCAACCTTGTGATCCACCTGCTCAGCCTCCCAAAGTGGTGGGATTATAGGCGTGAGCCACTGTGCCTGGCCCACAAAACATATTTTTTAAAGCAAATAAGAATTGGGTATTGTGTCAACTACATAATTATGTGATATCACTTCATATTTGCATACAGTTTCAGAGTTTGCAAAGCTTTCCCACATGCAATATCTCTTTCCCCTATGTAATAGCTCTTTCCCCTCTTACCACAACCCTGGGAGATTACTGTGGCAGGGAGAATCATGCTTATCTGACAGATAACCTCTCTAAACCTCAGAGTCTTCATCTATTAGGTGAACAGCAACATCTGCCCTAGGAGAGTTGTGATGGTCAAGTGTGTGACAGTATTGAGCAAACTTGCAAAAAATGACGAGTTCTGTGCAAAGGAAAGGACATGTTATGATCCCTCATTTTCAGAGGAGGAGGAGATCTTCAGGGTGCAAAGTGAAAAACATTCATTGTTTTCCAACCTAGAGATTCATGTTGACATTGGGGGAAAGCTACTTGATACATTTCAGAACAGCTGATTTAGTGCTCCTTATCTCTACCTACTGAACATAGACAATAACAGAAAACATTACATCTCACAATCAATTATTTGCAATAAAGCCAAATACCATGGTGTACATTTAGCTGAAATCATGGGACATGGAGCAAAGCCTGGTTAGCATATTTCTTTTAAGCTTAGCCATGCAGGACAACCATACAGCAAAAACTTTACTCTAGTAAAACTATGTTGAGACAGCAAAATGTCAGAAAAAGTTCTAAAGACAATTGTTATATTCTTAATAAGATAATATTAGCTAGCAAGATCTAATAGAAAGCAAAATTACAAAGCATAAACCTGTATACGATGCAGCCCCAGTTCCCGAAGATGAGAAATCTATATAGTAAAAATACGACTGGTTAAACAAAAACACGGGCATTATAAAACAGACATTGAAAACGTTAATCAAATCCAGTGTCAGGTAAGTGATTTAGCAGCACCAGAAAAATCCCAAATTCAGATCTAAATCACATATGACCCTTTCGTAATGCACACAATTCTCATTGGTTAAATTGTGACAACGGGCAAGACCACCACACATGAATAACTGAATTTCACCCAGCCCCAAGGCAGCCAGTAAGCAGAAGAGCTAGCTTCCTGGGACCAATGGAGCCTGGTGAAGTTACCAGCACTTCACATTTTTAATAAAACATTTACTCATCTTAGGGCTTAGTTGGGACCAACATCAGAAAATCCAAGTAAATATAGTCTGAGGCTGTATAAGCAAAGGCCTGGAGTTTACTGCACATTATTTGATTGAAAGCATGGTTTGTTTCTTTGTAGGGGGAGGGCGATGTTGACAGCTCATTGTTATTTTAAGGCCCTCCAACCCCATGGTCTGCAGGGCCTGCAATGAATGGTCTCACAGACAGAAGCTAAAATTGCTTGTAGCAATTTCTGGTTTTAGTTCTGGGTGTTACCACCATGTCACTAAGCAAAATGCTTATGCCAGTATTTCTGAATAATTATCTTTAGATATTATTTAATGGCTTCTCATGAACAATGGATGCATTTTAGTCATTTTTACCTTCCCCCCATGTAGTTACAGCATGATTTTTATTTCCTCTGATGGTTACCTTTGTGATGCCATCTACAGTCACATTTAGATTCCTGACTTAAAAAGAAGAGGCTATTAGCACTCCTGCCCCTGCTCCCCTTTCTCCTTCCACTTCTCATCTCTATCTTCCCTACTTTCACACTGTAATGGGTGATGGCATTTATGCTTGTTCAGAGCTTTGGCTGTCGGTTAAATTTTAAAAATCAAAATACAATAAATAGTGCTTACATTCTAGCAACCACATATATATTACTCTCTGCAGAGAAAATGAAAGGGCCATGATTACATTTCCTTCACTGCAGCTCCAGTGTCATGATCACCATGCTACTCAGCAGAGAACGTTCAGATGGAATCTCTTTCTGACCCTCTACCATTTGCTTAATGTCATGTATAATCTTTTATTTATTTATTTATTTTTTCAAGATGGAGTCTTGCTCTGTCACCAGGCTGAAGTGCAATGGTGTAATCTCAGCTCACTACAACCTCTGTCTCCCAGGTTCAAGCAATTCTCCTGCCTCACCCTCCCAAGTAACTGGGATTACAGGCCCCCACCACCACACCTGGCTAATTTTTGTATTTATTTTTAGTAGAGATGGAGTTTTACTATGTTGGTCAGGCTGGTCTCAAACTCCTGGCCTCAAGTGATCTGCCCTCCTTGGCTTCCTAAAGTGCTGGGATTATAGACATGAGCCACCACACCCAGCCATATAACTATATTTGTACTATATCTCCTTTGTTCACCACCTTGTCTTCTGATTGCTTTTTTCTTTTCTTTTCCTTCTTGAGGGAGGAAATCTATATGTTCTTCACCATATATCTAATATCTTCTTCACCTTCTCTCTAGTATCTAATACAACATACATACATACATACATACATACATACATATATAACCAGGTTCTTATTTATGTTTTCCATTGCTTGGATTAACAGTGTTTTTTCAAAACCTATAAAAGACCTTAAACAAGATAAGGATGAGAAGAACCTTGAGTTCTCCAAGATAAAATTTTGTCTCAAAGTCTCTCACTTTGTTTCATGTGTTTAATCTCTCCATATGCTTAATCCATTGGCAATTATAGGAATTTTTGTTTTGGTCACAAAAAATAAGTTGCTGGTATTACTGTGTTAACATTAATTTTTTCTTTTATCATCTTAACTTCTTTCCTTCATTCACTATTACAATTTCTGGCAGATGCACAAAACCATAATGCCAGGTACAGGCAAGTGCTTCTCAAAGAAAGTGTTTGGGAAACAACAGAAAGAACAATGTGTTGGCTACCCGTGCTTGGGAGAACGAAAACCAAATCCATATTATCTTAGGGAGTGAGGATTACATGATTCATTGGCATCTGACCTTATTGCTCCTGCCAAGGGAATCAGTTGAAAAGGGAGTATTATTTTATATTTGGGTGGACTTGGGTCAATATCACTCAAAAAAAAATAAGGTGCTAGCTCTCTGTATTGACACAAAAATTTCATAAAATCGCTATTGGGAAAAAAAGTTTTGGATGGGAGCAAGAAAGCTGAAAATCTTCAAACTGTTAGTGGTTTCCATTCTTGTTTTCCAGGCCATCACCAAAACACCATTGAAATGGTTCATGAGGTTCATCACACTTCGCTTCTAAGAAACCAAACCTATTGCAAGGTGGCTACCTCAGTTTATTTTTTTCTCCAGAAGTTCTGTATCCAGTCTTACTCCAGATCTGTTGAGTGACTTACCTTCCACTTCCCCACCAGAGGCAGCAATTTTGGACAGGTGTAGATACGTTGTTCCAACTACATCATTTTTAGTAAGACGGTCCCTGTGTAAAACAAAAGAGGTTAAGGGCTCCATCCATAAAGATATGTCTTCATTTCAACAATTTTTAAAAAGTTAGAGCTGGAAAATACCCCAGACTTCAAAATAATAATCATGTCCAGTGAGCCGCAAACTTTATTGTACTTAGTAATCAACTAGAAACTTCTCACCCTCATCTCCTGCCCACATTTTTAATTCAATAAGCCTAGAGTGGGGCGAAGAGATTATATTTATGAGTATATCCCAATTGATTCTCACACAGATGGTCCTCCAACCACCCTTTAGAAACACTGATCTAGTCAGGTAATTTATTCTTAAGTTATGAAACTGCAGTTTTACACAGAGGCCAAGGGATGTGCCTATGGCCACACTCAATACCATTGTCATAAAATTTATTAATTATCGGCACATTACATAATTATGATAGTGCTGATGATCATGATGATGGTAATATTTGCCATGTTTCCACTCTCAGGGAGCTAAGGGTGCCAGTTGAATGCTCCATCCAACTAGGACATTCCAAGAATGGTCTCATTATGGCCAATCAGTGCTAGGAGGCTGGTCTAGTAAAAATTCCATCAGAACATTTCAAGGACTTTTTTTCCTTGCCTTCACTGAGGTAGTTTTCCTATTTTCTTTTTTAGCAGTAACAGTGTATTGCTCTTAGAATGTTTGGTGATTCCTCCCAAGAAATGGTTGACTGTATTTCCGAAGTCTATTCTGGACAGCCTAAAGATATTTAAATTCCTGATTTCTTATCTTGGGGCATTTTCAGATCACATTCCGCTTCTTTTGTTTACGAGCAGTTGAACCGAAATATTCAAAGCTTGTTTTGCTATAACACTATTATTAAATTTTAAGAAAACACCCAGTTCCAGGTGCGATTTATCCTTTCCTCTGGAAGGAAAGCAAAATGCCAGAAAATAAGAGTTAGACCATCCAGAGTAATGTTTTGCACTGACCCAAATGTTTAATTCTTTTATGTTGAATTAGACGTGTGTCTATTTTCAACTCACCAGTCATATATTGTTAGTTTTATTTTTTCACACACTGAAGGAAACTATAAAAAAAAAAAACAGAAAAAATAGTTATTTCACAATAATTTAGTAATTATTCAAGTGTTCTTACTTTTTCAAAAAGAAAAGAAAGTCAAACCTTGATCTGAAGATTGACGACCTGATTCCACTCAGGGTTTGCATTTTTCTCAATTATGTTTGTACAAACCTGCAAAATCACCAAAGCAAAGCTGTAGGTTTTCAAGTTTCTAATTTCTAAAAGTTTACAATATATGCTTACTAGATTATGCTTTAGCAGTTTACTTATATACTTAGAAACCTGGTTAAACTTTATTTTTCTTGATTTGTAAAATATGACATGGGTTTAATATTAATCATTGCTGTTTCGATGCACTAGAAGCTTGTTTTTAACCCTTTTTCATTAGTTTTCAGTTGTCGGATTTCTAACATTAGATTAATGTAACAAAGCAAGAGATAAGGTTTATAGAGCAATTGTTATATACAATTTGCAAAGCATCTACCATTAACACATCTAGACAGATCTTTTGACCCTGCCTGCCAGCCTCCCTGTGCCCTACCCCAAACTGGATCCTGTGCCAGTCTTTCCATCACTCTTCATTCAGGCTCAAACCAGAATCAGCCACACCCAAATCAGCCACACCCTGATACTTCAGTCTTCATGCAGATCCTGAAGCCATTCTCCCCGGGATGCCTGCATGGTCTATCTGAACTCCACAGCTTCTCTTGTCCCCTGACTTTCATGTCACTTCTCTGTGTAACACCTTCAGTGGACTCTCAAAGTACACCTCGAATAAAGCCCAGATCCCTCCCTGGGCTGATGAAACTCTACTGTCCCAAGTTCATTTCTCTCTAACCTCCTAGCTCTCCCCCCTCGCTGACTCCACTGCAGCCACATGGGCAGCCTTCCCTGCTAAGATTTTCCTCCTTGGGACCTTCCATCGCCCTTCTCCCTGCCTGGATGCCTCCCTCCCCGGGTCTCTGCATATTCTGGCCTTTGTGTATCAACTGTCACTTTCTCAAGGTGGTCTCACCTGTAAACCTGGATAAACACCCCTCCCCTGCACCAATCACTTCTTGTCCCTGCTTTGTTTTCTCTGTAATACTGGACGCCGTTTGAAATTATTTCATTTCTTGTTTGCTTGTTTATTGTCTGTCTCTTCTATTCCTGCGTGTTCATTTCTATATCCTAGCACATGGGACAGAATCTGGTACTTAATGACTTTTTGAGTGAGTAAAAACTCTCAACAATCCTATGTGATGATTATTATCTCCATTTATAGTTCAGGAAATGGAAACTCAGAAGGGTAAGCGATTCACCTGCCTATGAAGTGGGGTAAAGCCTGAATTTAATGCGGGCCTCATTTTGCCCCAGAGCTAAAGGCTTTTCCACCATACCCACTGAATCTTTTAGAAAAAAGTGCCAGTCATGTGTGTGTGTATGTGGTTTGCCAAATCTTCCTTTCATAACTGTATGGTTCAAACACATACAAGATGCTAGTTCTTTCCGTGTATAACTGTCCATGCTGTGCTGTTATTCTACTGTAGAATCGCACTCAACTCTCAACTCTATCTTTGACCATCTCTGTAGGTAAAAGTGATGGTTATAGCTGTCCCTATGCCAAGAGTCTCCCAGATTTTTTCAGGGGCCCACTCCCATTCTCTGATTTCAGCAGTTCCCTGGAGCATGGAAGGTGAGAAACATGACAGGAGGGGACAGCAGGGCACTGGGGGGTCTATACCCCACAACATTTACCAGGGATGGGTGTGGCTGGCCAGGGAGCTTGCCCAAGATGAAGATGATGTTTGGACCTGAAAAGTAATTCCAGAAATCCAGTGGTAGCTTTCTCTATTCTAATCTCTCAAAAGACTGAATTTTGTAATTTGTGTTCTGCATACTTTCCACTCCAAAATAAACCTGTGGAGAAGTCTGGCATGTTTGGACTCAGATAATCTGTGTTCCTGCAGAGTGCCCGGCTCATCAGGGGGCTATTTGAACAAAGAGTAAGCAGGAATTCACTCCAAGGAAAGCACAGTGGTTTTAAATATTTATTCCTAGTAGCATCTGCATTTAGATCATGTACAAACCTTTTTTCCAGCAAAGGAAACCTCCACAAAAGGATCCACAAGATTTTTCTTATCTGCATTGCCTCCAAATATTTCCTTTACTGTCTGCNAAAAAAAAAAAAAAAAAAAGGAAAAGTAGACCCCTGGAACAGAATGGGGCCCCTTGAAACTGATTTATGCATAAAGGAGTCTTGACACATGACAGAGGTAGAATTACCGATGAAGTGGGGAAAGGCGTTAATAAATCATGCTGGGAAAACTGGCCCTCTATAGGAAAAAAATTAAATTTCATATCCATTTCATACCATAAACAAACATCTATTCCACATAACATGAATAATAAAAGTAAAACCTTTTATGACTTTTTTGGAGACAAGAGTCTCGTTCTATTGCCCAGGCTATGGTGCAGTGGTGCAAATACAGCTCACTACAGCTTCAATCTCCCCAGGCTCAAATGACCCTCCCACTTGAGCCTCCCAAGTATAATGGCTGGAACCACAGATGCACGCCACCACACCCAGCTAATAATTGTATTTTTTTGTAGAGATGGGGTTTTGCCATGTTGTCCAGGCTTGTCTTGAACTCCTGGACTCAAGTCCCTCAGAGTGTTAGGCTTACAGGCATGAGCCACCTCCCCTGGCTGAAAGTAAAATTTTTAAAGGCCTAGAAGAAAATATATTAAAATATCTTTACAATCTTGGTGGGGGAGATAATCTTTTATTTTATTTTTTGAGATGGAGTCTTGCTGTGTCCTCCAGGCTGGAGTGCATTGGCATGATCTCAGCTCACTGCAACCTCCGTCTCCTGGGTTCAAGTGATTCTCCTACCTCAGCCTCCCCAGTAACTTCCCCAAAATATATCTGATTACAGGCACGTGCCACCATGCCTGGCTAATTTTCGTATTTTCAGTAGAGATGGGGTTTCACCATGTTGTCCAGGCTGGTCTCAAACTCCTGAACTCGTGATCTGCCCTCCTCCACCTCCCAAAGTGCTAGGATTACAGGTGTGAGCCACTGTGCCTGGCAACCATTTAAGACTCAGGAACACGAACAATACAGTAAAAGATTGCCACCTTTGTTAAAGGAAGTTTTCTGAAATGGTAAAACCATGACTCTCACTTAGATATAAAATGAACACATGTATTTACCTCATTATGAGGAGGGAACCAGACAGATATTACGATCATTTAAAGAAGAAAGCAAAGAACCACATACTTATATGGAATAAAGAAATGTTGACGCCAGGTGCAGTGGCTCACTCCTATAATCCCAGAACACTGGGAGGTCAAGGCGGGCAGATCACTTGAGGTCAGGAGTTTGAGACCAGCCTGGCCAACATGGTGAAACCCCATCTCTACTAAAAATACAAAAATTAGGTTGGGTGCAGTGGCGGGCTCCTGTAATCCCAGCTACTTGGGAGGCTGAGGCAGGGGAATTGTTTGAACCCAGGAGATGGAGGTTGCAGTGAGCTGTGAGCCAAGATCACACCACTGCACTCCAGCCTGGGCAATAAATGAGACTCCGTCTCAAAAACAAAACAAATAGTTGCAACAAGAATTGTTCTCATGGGTGGCAAGCACTAGTTGGAGAAATCCTTTTGGTCTTAGTTGAGAGAGAAAGAATATTTTTTCCACAAAGTTTTAAAGTCAACAGGAGTACCTTGAAAAATAAATTTATAAATTATTATGTCAAGACTTGATCTTTGCCTGGCGCAGTGGTTCACGCCTATAATCCCAGCACTTTGGGAGGCTGAAGAGGGCAGATCACAAGGTCAGAAGATCAAGACCATCCTGGCCAACATGGTGAAACCCATCTCTACTAAAAATACAAAAATTAGCTGGGTGTGGTGGCATGCACCTGTAATCCCAGCTACTCTGGAGGTTGAGGCAGGAGAATCGCTTGAACCTGGGACACAGAGATTGCAGTGAGCCAAAACTGCACCACTGCACTCTAGCCTAGCAGCAGAGCGAGACTCCAACTGAAAAAATAAACAAAATAAAATAAAATAAAAATTAGCCAGGTGTGGCAGCACATGCCTGCAATCCCAGCTACCCGGGAGGCTGAGGCATGAGAGTCACTTGACTCTTGCAGTTAGCCAAGATCAAGTCACGATACTCCAGCCTCCAACCTGGGCGACAGAGTAAGACTGTCTCAAAACAAACAAACAAACAAACAAACAAAAAATGATCTTTTCAATTGGGAGAAAGGTGCTTTAAAGGTTAAAATGTTATAGGCCTAGTCTGACTTTTTCAGAGAAATTCAAGAAAATTTGGCAAAATCACAAATAACACACTTTTTTTTTTCTTTTCTTTTTTTTTTTTTTTTT